ATAATTGGCTTTCTTATTTGATACCCATCGTCTTAAGGGAGTTATCTTTTATCTGAAATATTATGACACATGATTAATTTAAGAGAATTGCAAAAAAGAGAAAAAGTAAAGTAAAAGACAAAATAAGGTTTTCATTTTGACTCACAGAAGGAAGGCCAAGAAGTTGTTCTGTGTAAACTTCTTAACCAGATGTTACTCTGTCTTAGAACTGGTTTATGTGAGTTAAATGGACAAAGCAAAAGCCTGCAGTTTCTTAAAGTTGCTAAAAGTCAGATGTTTTGGGGATTATATACAGTGAAATGGAATTATGTAAAGGGAAATGACAATTTTTTGTACTAAAGAATTATAATTATCTTTAGTTCCGAAATGCCATATCTATTTGCAAAGTGATTGGTAATGTTAACTGAATTACCTGCAGCGGGCTGCTGTTTGATTATTTTCTAGATTAGTAATCCCTGCCGCTCCACCCATTTTACTCTCTCTTCTTCCTCTGTAAGGCATGCTAAGTAATTGTGAATTTATTTAAATATTAGCCTAAACAAAGCACAATTATGAGTTGCTGTACAGCAAGTAATATTTTTAGTTATTCCTAAAAACTGAACATGATGAGTTTTTAGAGTACCAGGTGAAGGCAATAGCTAGCTGGAAGGACCTTCTTGAAATAGAAAAAGATACTGCTTTTTAGGGAATTTATTTGTTTTAGATTATTGCTTGTCCTGAGAAAATGTAATTAAAAAAATAATTAGGGTGTTAAGACTATTGAAGTTAATTATATGCACTTTTTATGACCAGAGACTTTGAGATGGAGCAATAAGATAACATCACTAGAACTAAAAAACAGAAGTACTTCATTGTCTTTAATTGAAATCTAATCAGCGTAATTTATCCTTTTACTTACCCTTTGATTCAGAGAGGCAGCCACTCTGAATATAATTTAGCATATTCTTTCCAGTCTGTTTTTTCTATGTACTTTTTTACATAGCTCATGTTATGTTGTATATAGTTTTGTATCTTGTTTTGTTTAATATAATTTTTCTGATTTCATATTATTTCATTGGATGGACATATTTCTCATACTTAATACTTTATTTTAAAACCCAGTGATACACAAGTAAGATTTCTGAGTTTCAGAAACTGTTCAGATTCTTTTGTTTTACTGGAGTTGGTGTTCTGTTGGTTTGGGGTTTTGTTTTTGTTTTTGTTTTTGCTTGAAATAGTTTTTTTTTTTTTCATGTATCTTGAGCATCTTTAAATAAAAAGATTAGGGTTGTAGTAATATTTGACTAGACTGTTTTTTTCTTCTCCCAGTGCTCCCGTGTTTTATCAAATTTAGTACAATGTTAGAGGAATGTGATAGTGGGATATAGCTTGGGGCTTCAAAATATTTTAAAGTTAATACATATTCTTCCATTTATATCAAAATTAGAGGAGATATATCCAAGAATTGAGTCTTATTTACCATAATATTCTCTTTCCTTTCTTTCTATATTGTTGCTTAATTCAGACATTTTGAATAAATGATGTAGTGATTTTTCCCTTTGGATGTCCAGCATTAAAGGTAGCCATTGCATAAGATAGTTTTCCCTTTTTTCTTATTACTAGGATGAAGGTAACTATACGAAGGTTTGGAATGGTTAAGGAAGGCTGACATTAATAGCTCTCAGCTGCTAAGTAGCAGAGGTGTGGTAGAAAGCCAAGCCAAGAAAAGGGACAATGTTCCTTTAAGGCTTTAAGAACTCGGAGAAATACCAGGGTGCTTGAGTTTAAAGCAATGTAACAATGTACCTCCCACCGGGACCCAGTGATATGGAACTGCTTGTTGATCATAGTCATGTAGGCCCATTAGTTTACAATAGAGGATCCGGGTACCCTTTATTGAGATAGGTTAAAACATAACTAGCATTCTGGCTGAACTTAAAGTGCACTAACAGCTCCCACTGCAACATTCTTGGGGGCTGACTCTCCTTCACCCATGTAGTGGATGTATAAAAGGCATGGCCCTGCTGCACTCGGGGTCAGCCTTTGGATATGAATCCTCTGTGCCAGTGCTAGCACTATAATAAACTGCTTCTTGCCAAACGTCTTGGTGTCCTGGTTCCTTGTTTGTAGTTCCCGCAGTTCCTGCAACAAAGGCTTAACGTTGTTGAAAGTTGACCTTAACACTAATAAATTTGTCCATGATGCTATGAAGATATGTGTTAATAGGGAAGGTTGTGAGCTGGAAGTCTAAGCATGGAACTGAGTCAGAATCATGAGGTTGCAAGTGACTTCTGGTCTTTTATATATAGTCAATCACTCTGTTTTTTCCCCATTATTCATTAAGTAAATACACTAGTTCAATAATTTCAGCTAACATGTGCCATTTTTTCCCTATATGCCAGGCTAAGTACTTTTCACATGAACTGTTAGCTAATTGTTGTGAACTTCTAGTCACCATGTTAGAAAAATAACAGTGTTTTGTGTGATGAGGGTTATTTTCAGTTTGATCTGTGGTTGGTTGCTAATGCATTAGATGTGCTTGTTTATAAACTTCCCTGCTGTCTTATGCAAGGTGAATTGATTTTTCTAGATATAGCAGTAGAAGCATTCTTGTAAAAAGCAGTTGTTTTTAAAACAAGTTAAAAGTACTTGAGGTGGATTTAAAATTTTTAAATTAAAAAGCAAATGAGAATAAGGGATTACTTGTCGTATCTCAGAGGGATCGTGATTCCTGGAATTGAAAACTGTCCTAAAGTCTGGAGAGAGGCAGCCAGACCTGTGGTTGTTGACTGCGGCTGAACTGTAGGTCAAAGCCAGGGTGGGGTTGGGAGTAGTGGAAAAACACTTAATTTTGACTGCAATTTTGTTGTTGTTGTTATCATTAAGGTACAATTACATGAGCAACATTATGGTCACTAGACTCCCCCTATTATCAAGTCCCCACCATGGTTGTAGTTTTAAAGGCTGCATTTTAGTTTTTATTGATTCACTAGCCTTAATTTCTAAATATAAATATAATGTTGAACAGTATGGGCATTGCATGTGTATGTTGATGGAACATAGGAGTGGGGTGGGAGTAGTGTTATTAGGGAAAAGAACAGAAGCGTCTTGCTTTTTCTTCTTTCTTGATTCCCTAGAGTCCTTTCCCCACCTCATGCAGTAATCAGTGGCTACCAGTAATAATTAAAGTGCTAAGTAGAAAACTTGTGTAATTTATTTAACAATAGGGGTTCGGACAGTAAAAGACCACGAGAAATAAGCATGGAGAACAAGTTTCCTTCATGATTTCAAGATAGTAAATGTGAGATAATTGCAATTTCCCTTTCCCAATGAATTCTCCATCTCTCTCTTCTGCAAAGGTTATCAAACCTTCAGATGACCAGATGTGATTCTTTGATTTGGCCTAAAGATCCTAGATATTTGCTTGTCAAAATAAGTCCTTACTGTAAGGCTGGAGGCACTGGAGGGAGGAAAGCGAGGACAGTGCAAATGGAACAAAGACAGCACCAAATAGCTCTGTGCCATATGAAGAAGGAACAGACAGGTCTTCCGGGATTCCAATCCCATGACATGCCAACAAACCCCGGATGCAGACCCCCTCCATCCTGAAGGAGGAGACGTCTGGCTGTCCATCACTTGACCCTGAGCCAATAAAAAAATTCCCCACATACCCCTGGCACGGCTCACTTCCCCCTCCCCTCCCTGTGCTTATAAAAACTCCCCACCTATCTGGTTACCCGTGACTTCCCAGGCCTGTAACTAGCCAGACCGGGGAACATCGCCTGGGAATTGCGTTCAAATAAACTACCTGGCCCTTTGTTTCCTCTCTTTACCTGCTTATTTCGGCTAGAATTTATCTTACACTTACCTGTAATGACATGGAACTCATAAAGCAGCAGTCATTTCCTTTCTGCATCGATGCTCTTTGATCTGAGGCTGGTCTGAAGATGTCAAGTGAATGAACAAGTATTGGTTTTAGTTCATTATTTATTATCAAAGGAATTGTAGAGAACTTTGAAAAGCACATGGAAAAGATTAATGGGCCATAATTCCATTATTTGTAGGTAAATCAATTAGTGCTCTTTTTTCAGTCTTTTTTTCTAGGCACTATAAAATCAGCTCTTAATTAAATTGAGTAATGGATTGGGAGAAGGGACAGCCTTTAGAGATTATTTCAGATCATGGTTATAATTGTAGGCAGGTTATATGAGGGTGACTAGTAATAGGGAATTGGGACCTTTGCTGGCTAGGAAATTAATAGCTTTAGTGGCTGGGTTTCTGTTGGTGCTGTGGAGGAGATCAAGAGTTTGGACTCTTGGATTTCCTACTTCTTGATGGAACCAGAAGAACCTCTGGATGTGGTCAGGATAGGCATTTATTTATAATCACCTGTGGCCAAATTCTAGCACTCCTAAAGTAGAAATGTGTCCCTATCCCTGCACTAATCTAAAAACCAGATAATCTCCCAGTAATTGAGAGTTCATAGAGTGTACAGTTCTGCATCCATTCTGTATGAAGTGTTTTTTTTTAAAATAATTTTAGTAGAATGATAATGAGTCATCTTGAATTTGGAAGATTAGTTCAGGCTGGTGGAGCTAGTGTTATCGGGAAACATTAGATTTTGCCTGTAACACTAAGGAGAAACAGGCACTAGCAAGACTGGCAGTAGGTTCATTTGTGGGATAAATCAAATAATCCAATATTTAATAGTTCCAGCAGTGGACTGACATTCTGTCAGTTATACTAAGGAACTTTAGATGCTCTCTTTTGGGAAATTTGTCTTATGGGATTATTTATATACTGTTTTGCTTTACATGATTCATTCACAGAAAGTATGTGTTAAGTTTAACAGAAGTATCTTATTTTTTAAAATTAGAATTTCTTGGGATATATTGGATCTTTGGAAAAAATTTGACTACTTGTTTCATTGTAGAAATGTGCAGCTGGAATATTAATTTATTCTTGTAACTTATTTTATACATGAAAGTTATTACTTGTTAATTAGTATTTCTTTTTTACAGTTTCTCTTCAGCAGCGGGTAGCAGAATTGGAAAAAATTAATGCAGAATTTTTACGTGCACAGCAGCAGCTTGAGCAAGAATTTAACCAAAAGAGAGCAAAATTTAAAGAGTTATATTTGGCTAAAGAGGGTAAGTGCTTAAGTCTCCTCCCGACCCCCATACTAGAACTGCCTTAAAATATCAAGCTTTATGGTAGTACAGTGTTAATTTTATCATTGGATAAACTTTGATTTTATTTGTATTTAGAGTGTATAATAAAAGCTTATTTAGAGGCTAGTGTTAAGAATGGAATTGAAAAACAAGTTGAAAAATGCATTATTCAGATTATTCCTTGTCTTCTGACCTTAATGATGATATTTAATATAGTAGGCTATATAGTCCTAGGACACAGGACTTTGAGTGCTCTTAATACTTGAGAGAGTGCCCCGGGCAAATCAGGACTGCCATTCTAGTAATAGCCTTAGCCATTGTTATGTTAAAACTGACGGTTCCTTGAATTTTTTCAACAGATGTTCATTTATTTATCAATAAGTATTTAATGCCTACTGTGAGTCAGACATTGTGCCTGCATGTGGTTATACAGAAGGAACAAAATTCACATGGTTCTTTAACTTGAAGGACTTCAGCTCTCTTGAGGAAACCAGATATTAAGTAATTGTGTGAGTTGGTTTAAGGCAAGTGTAAAAGGCAAGTATCTATGAAGGCATATCATCAGTGACTCATCTGAAGGATAAGGGGAGAGCTTACGTTTTGGGTACTGATCTAGGAAAGTGTGTTTCTGGTTTCCAGATCCTCTGGATGGTTCTCAGCTCACAATGTGCAGTGGAATAGCACCAGTACCACTGTGACCTGGGAACTTGTTAGAAAGGCAACACTTTTGGTCCTACCCCAGATTTAGGAGGAGAAACTCAGGAATTAGGGTCCAGCCATCAGTGTTTTAGGGAGCTCTGGAGATGATTCAGATGCACACTAAAGTCTGAACCACTGCTCTAGTCTGGACCACTGGCTCTAAACTTTAACATTAGTAAAAATCACCTGGGGAGTTTATTGGAGCGCAGTGCTCTGGGGTGCGGCCCAGAACTCAGGTTTCTGAAAAGCTAGTGGTGTAATACTGCTTGTCCAAGGACCACAGCTTTAGAATCATTTCTCTATAGACTAGTGATTGTACAATTTTTAAATTTACAAATTCCATAAAATATTGAGACAGGGACCGTGGATGTAGTCAGAGTAGGGTGAGGGTCTCCGGAGGGGGCAGGGCGGGATATTTGCAGTCAGAGCAATGTAACTACATGCAAGGAAACCGCCCTGCTAAAACTCCATGTTAAACATTGAGCTCTAGAATCATTCTTCAGTGAAATCCGTTAATGTTCCCCAGATAAAGAAGAGTAGCACATGTTTTTTTATGCTAACCATTTATAATCATGTGTAAGGTTCACTTTAGCATACTAAAAGGCCCAGGCCTATGTGCTGTCTTTCCTCCTTCAGATCTGATGAAGTGATTCTTGCAAGCTGGGCAACTAATTTAGCAAGTAAGCCCAGGCATAAACAACACAGTAAAAGGCAGGAAGGATTCCACCTTAAAGATAAGATTGCATTTTAATACCCAAGAAGTTAAGAGTTAGAAATTCTTAACTTACTCTTCAGCAAACAATACCTCAGCCCACCTTGGGGGCTGAGCAGGTGGTCTTGTTTCATATGCCCCCAGACCAAGATGCTGGTATCTCAGGGAGAAATCATCAGAGGAAGTTGCTTGTGTTAAGTTAATTCTAAATATTCAGGGACCACTTAACAAGTCCACGCCCCGAAGTTTTTTCATGTTCTCGAAAAATCCTCAGCTGCCTATAAAACCCCCTAGACAATGCACCACTACGGACTCTCTAGTCCCCTCCTGGCATGAGCCGGAAGCTCTTTCCTTTCACTGTATCTCTAAATAAAAGCCTGTACCTTGCTCTCCTACCTTGACACTTTGTGAAGCTCATTCTTTGGCTCCGCAAACAAGAACCCTGGCATCAATATTTATATAACTTGTCACACCTTTTTAAAGTTGATGTCAAAATTTTTTATTTCAAATGTAAAATGATACAAAGGATGTAAATTCTATCTTATTATCAATACTTACAATTCAGAATAAAACCTCATACTTTTAAACATATCCAATGGAATCAATCATAGTGATTTAATATCCATCACCATAAAAAATACATGAGTAAGCTCTTTAGCAGAAATTTTACATTTTTTTCCCTCCTTGTGTTGGGTTTTCTTTTTTACATCTTCCTCAGAAGTTTATTCTAAAAAGAACACAATTCAAGTGTGCATCAGAATTTTACTTGTAGGGTTTGTTAAAACAAAGATTGCTGCCTCCCATCCTAAGAATTTCTGATTCACTAGGTCTGGGAATCTAGAATTGTATTTCTAGCAGGTTACCAGGAGATGCTGATGTTGCTGGTTCAGGGACCATACTTGAGAACCACTGGCCTAAACAAATATTTTGTGCTTGAAAGCCATTTAAAAAAATTTTGGTCAGACTCATCTAAAACAAAAATATGCATGTAAATTTCTTCTTTATTGAGTTATCATTACAGTTATTCAAAGTATATAATTCACCATGAATATTTTATACATTAAAAAAAGTTATTATTAAAATGTAAAAGTTATTGGAAACGCAGATCTTATGAGATATATTGGATCTCCAATTAAGTTATTAACCTCTGGGTGAATATCTTTCTCAAAGAAGGTGTTTCAGGTTTTTTTCTTGTTAAATAGATGTAAGTGTTGAGAACCCTTGGTCTCATAAATAAGTAGGTGAAGATAGAAGATTTTTAAATAGCTATTATTATTCCATTTTCTTAACTCTTTCTGAATTATATGTTAAGTCATAGTGGTCTGCTTCAAAAATATTTTTATTCTATTGGCAGATAACTCAATAAGGTCTTCCTTCAATTTTGTTGAAAGCAGACTTTGCAACCTGCCAAAATATTTGTTACCCACTTACTAGTCATTCCCTTTTTTGTTACTGATAATGATACTTGAAATTGTCTCTCTGGTTTGATATCAGGGTAGTTTTTACACACAGGGCAGTGAACCGTAGTAAAATTCAGGATGGGTGAGAAGCCTTTCTTTTGTTAAGTAGGATAAGGGTGTTAGGTAAAGGAAGGTGGGCAAAGACAATCTGTACTTAAATACCCCTCTATTTTAGGAAAGAATATTTATGAAAGTTGAGGATATTGAAGTAGATTACTTTAAATCAATATTGTAAGGTTGAAGGCACCTGGGGGAGGGTTGAGCACGTCGGACACTGATGACGTGCCAAAGGCCCTAGCTGTTGCCCCTCCCAACCTGAAAAATGTGCCTTGGGCTAGCCAATCCTCCTGCCGCTGTAAATCTAAGCTCTGCCTCCCCCTACCTTCTTTAAAAACCCACTGCCTGTCTACTTACATGCGACTTTCCCAGCCTCCATTTCTGTAGACTGAGAAACCTCGCCCAGGAATTGCATTCAAATAAACTACCTGGCCTTTTGTTGCCTCTCTTCGCCTGCTTATTTTGGCTAGAATTTATCTTACAAATATGTGCCTATGAATCCCTTGGAAAAGCTTTGCATACCACCAGGGGTGTATGTACCCCACTTTGAAGACCACTGCCTTGGAGTGGTGTTATTCAGAGTATAGGTTAAAACCCATTGATGGATAACCCATTAAGTGGGTTGTGACCAGCAATTAAAAAAAAAAGAATACAGTGGAAAATAATAGACCCTGTTAAACTTTGTAAGGCTTAAGTAAGTACAGTTGCACAAAATGTTTTGTTTCAGTTACATATATACGTGTATATATAGAGTTGCAATATAAAATATATTTCTTGCTGTGAATTATGGTCAGAGAAGTTTGAAAGCCAGTGTTCTGTAGGTGGAAGGTTCATAGGCTTCCCAGAATTCCACCCTGGCTTGGAAAGGCTTACCTACTGACTGTAGTATGAAATGGGGTTTTGTTTTCTCATGGCTTACGTAGGAGGGCTGTTTCCTATTTGATTTTGTTCCTTCATATCATAGGCTGACAAGGAGATGGGAAAGCTGCTGTTCCTGTGTAGGCATGGTGGCACTGCAAGACACTGTGGAGGTTGGGATGAATGAGATGCTTTTTATCTTCAAGAAAGTATAGTGTACTGGGGTAGATGATACATTTTGCACAGTGTCATTGCTCTAATGTTAGGTATTACGAGTAGTAAGTTCTGTCCAGTTCTTCAATATGTTCATGTGGATTTGTTAACCGCTCCTTTTAAAATTTGTTTAACCTTGAATTGATGAGACAGCACTCTAAACTCTGTGCAATGGTATGTTCTTATCTGTAATACCTTTAATGTATATGTCTAAGGTTATGGCGGTACTTCCTCTGATGACTAATTCAAACTCAGTATGATACTGGCTATGACATCCTTTTGTCCTTTCACCTTTCACACCAATAACTGTTTTGTTTTGGTTTGGTTTGATGCTTGATCATCCTGTAGAGCTTTCTCTTTCACTCTTTGCTTATGTAATAAATTCAAGTTAATCTTGTTTAAGATTTGTTCATTTTGCTTTCTGTTTTTCTCTGTCCCCAAATAAAACTTTTAGGGTTTCTCTTGTTCTTATTTTCTTTTTGGAATTATAAAATTTTCTGTAAAATTCTGAAGAAATGAAAATGACTAAGAATCATTTCTGAAATACATTATCAGTTAGTTTTATATCTGATCTAAACAGCTTGTAATGTGAGTTCATTAAAATATACTTGATATGTTCTAATTGCTTTGAATACATCTAGACTCAGTAAATAATCTCTATGTGTACTATTACATATTTCCTATCTGAAGTTCTCAGTGAACTTAAGTTGGCCATAGAGAACAATTTTGGTAACTTTTACAAAATTTCAAAAGGAGGAATGTGATCCTTCTTGAGATTTTTTGGTGGCATTTCTAAAGAAAATGCATAATGTATGAAAGTTAAATGTTAATACAGTTTCTGTCTTTGCTGTTAGCCTGTATTGCAACAAAAATTAAATCTGAAATGTCACCTAAAGCAACAGTTTATTACTGCATTTACTCTGAAGTATAAACCTAGTCTTTTCTTTTTTTTTCTTTTTTTTATAGGGTGTCATTAATAT